CCATGGATCTGAATCATGTGGACACCCCCTTCAGTTCGTACCTGGTCTAACCCAGCCACAAGGCAGCCGCGTGAACACCAGCAACAAACCCCTGCCCTCGTGCAGCTTTCATTCCAGTGAGGAAAGCAGGCCATGGGGAGCAGATGCCACACCCCAACAGTTGGATTTCAGACACGGATGAGCACTACGGAATCACGGTAACACATGGGAATGCTAAGAAGTTGAAGATGGGCAGCAAGAAGGGTCCCCGCTTTGGGACAATCTCTTAGCTAAAACCCAAAAACAACAAACACCACTACAGCAAAGGACTGTAACCTAAACATTGAAGAGCCAGGCCCGTTGGAGGGGAAGAGAGCATCAGCGGCCCAATGTACAGTCAGAAGCCAGAAGGGTAGACAGCAGCAAGGTGCGCATAAAGCCGATTTCCAAAGGCAGTTGTCGGGGCCACTGTCCTCAGTACAACACAAGGCCCCTGGATCCTTTGCCAAGACATCAGCTACTTGTAGCCCACCTGTATTGAGTGTCGTGTGGGAATTCTGTTCAAATGCAAACCCCATTTCACAGGCGAGAACTCTGCGTCAAAGAAATGGGGAGCAATGGAGCCGTAACTCATAGAGGCAAGCTGTCTGGTGACAGTAGCCAAGGTGAGCAAGGGCCAGAATGCTGAGGCCCTGAAGGGTCTGCACCCTATTTGAAGTGCAAGAGAAAGTTGGCGGAGAGGGGTTTCCTGACATACTCTTAGATATGACTGAGAAAGGATGTAACATCCGAAGGAAGTCCCACCATACAACGCCTCAGTGGGCTGATAAGACAAACTTGAGCTTAGGCCATAGACGATCCTGAAGTGAATCAGGTTGAATCCCCTAGGAAGCAGGCCCCGTAAAGTGGGATGACTTCTCTCTGGCCCAAGCCCTGGAGCGACCGGCTGTAGCACACTACATTCCATCTGGTTAGACATGCAAATCCCGGGGCCACTCCCAGACCTGCTGAATCTCAGACCCAACAAGCCAACATCTCCCTCAACTTCGCTTTTCTTTCTTTTCTCCTTTGTAGCACTGGGTATCCAAACCCAGAACCCTGTGAACACTAGGCAATCAACCACCCTGGACACTAGGCTACGCCCCTAGATCTGGATTCAATCTTAACCTTTCAGGTGAGTCAACTCTGCTCAGAAGCTGGAAGGAGCCTACTTTGCAGAGCTCACTGCCTCTCCCCTAGACAGCCCCGCTGTGCGTACCAGTCAATCCTTCCCCTGGGCCCCACTGCTGCCTCCTGTGCCGAGAAACCTCACTACCAATCCATTTTTCTTACAAATTTGATTTTCTGAACATATTTACTGTTCAACTGACCAGGCCACATGGCCAAGGTAAAACAACTCCTCCCTCCTTCTAGGATTCCATTTCACTTCCACGGCTCCCGGCCTTCACAGCAGACCGCAAAGAGACTCTGGACATTTGCCTTGGCTTTCCCGACACCTCTAACAATGTGTTGGCTTTTTTATTCACCCGTCTCTCTTTCACTAATACACTATGAGAAATATTTGTGCCCTTGGAATTCCAGGAGCTTCACTCTATGACAGACACATCAATGACAGCAAATGTCAATGTCTTCCTATCCTCAAGAAACCGTCCCATTGGCAGGGAATGGCCAGACAAAAACAAATAATTATAAACAATACACATGTCAGAGAGGCCTACGAAGGGTCCCTGAGCTGAGGCCGACATGATGATAAAGAGCCAAGCCTGACCAGTGCTCCCTGACAGGAAATATTCGTGCTCTGAACCGACGCCCAACTCTATGTTCTCTATATGCACGGTTACCCATGTAAGTACCCAGCCACCTTGCAGGGAGGCCGTAGCCTCACCCACACCCTACAAGGAAAGAAACTGGCATGCAGGGAGAGGAAAGGGTATGTGAACAAAACCACCAAGATTCGGGCAAACAGAATGGCTCCAGAGCCCACCTTCGGGACCACAGCTTGTGAGAACTGGACGGAATGCCGAGGATGGAGGAGGAATGGCAGGCGGGTGTCCAGGCAGATCAACATATGCAAGAGTTCCCGGGAGGAGAGATGTCAACCTAAAGCCAGAAGAAAGCCTGAGGAAGTTGGTGAAACTGAGAAGCATCAAACGAATCGTAGATCAAACTATTCCGGAGGTGGCTCAGACAAGGCTGGCTGGTGGATGCAGAATACTGATATGTAGAAGAGCTGTAAAGGGGAAGGGAAAAGAAAGACTCCCCCATGACCCGGATTCCCACATTGTAAAGTTGGGAGGACACTCCGTGTGCAACCAAGTGCTATACCACCACATTTAATAAAGTCTACAGTGGGGGGGTCAGGGGACTGCAAGTTCTCGAAAGGATTGAGTCAATTGACGAAGCCGGTTAGCAGATCTTCCCAATGAAGGAGCCCACTCGGTATCCTGAAATCCTATTTGCAGAACACTATTCCCACTTCTTAACAATAAAAATGACGTATACAGTCACAAGGCAGCTTCTGTTAGAATGAGGGCTTTTCTTACACAAATACGAGGAGAAAGTTTTCACAATGTTTTAACTATCTTTTTTCTCTGAAGCACACAATTAAACTAGTTGACAAGGGAGAAGTGATGCAACTCTGCCAACTACAAAGATGCTCAGCTATCATTCCAACCCATGACTGTCAGACTGGAAGCCTACACTTGCTCCATTAAACCAGTGCTTCCCCCAGCTGGATGTGGTGGTGCAGGCCTATGACCTCAGCCCTCTGGAGACCAAAGCAAGAAGATTCTGAGTTCAAGATCAGCTTGGGTGGGACCAGTGAGACCGTTCCCAAACAAATCACCACTGCTCTCTGGTGCACAGCAGTATGGATTTGGATGCACAAGTCAACTTTTCAAAGTCTCAATAGCAATGGTCTCTTTTGAATCTGTGTAACTATATATCTTATGTGTGTGTATGGGATTTGATGCTTTTTATACTCATATATATACTTCAATAAACTCCCAAAGTCAAGACTGCCAAGAAAGCACAATAAAGTTTCTCTACAGTTATTAAAAGAATAAAAGCACTGGCTGGTTGGCTGTACCAAGATGGGGCGGAATTTTGAGGGAGTAGCACAGCAGAAATAACTGAAGCTTAGGAATCTGTTCGCCAAGCACCAAAAAACAGCCAAGCACCTGTTCCGTATTGTACCCAAATTTGACTACAGCCACATATAACTCTCTCCTCAAGAGATAGAATATCGGTCGCCTGGGGGGAAAGTGAATCCTAGAAGAGCAACAACGCGGCGCTCACCCTGCGCGCAGTGCTGATTTGAATGAGCACTGCACTGGCAATCCCATCATCTTATCTTCTCAAACCCAAGTATAAAAAGTCCCCTCTCAGAGCCACTCCTTCCAATTTTAGATTTCTAGATAATGACCCAATATCCAAAATTATTCTTTCCAGGATCCAAATCCTGACATGGCTGTCATACTTAAAAATAAATGCTGAACAAGCACACATGATAATCCAAGTCACCAACCCAAAACTGGGGAGTTGCCTTCAGGTCATTCTCCAGAGAGATGTAGCGAGACGTTAATCACAAGATGAGAAAAGTCAACCAAATGACCGTCCCTATCCCTACCAAAACGTTACAAATGTTCTGCCACTAATGTTTAAGTCAACTTTCTTTATGCCTGACCCTTAGTCTCTATTCTTAGCAGTTGGGTAAGGCTAGCGGAAGGGCCGTCCTTAGCAGCTGGGTAATGACACAGAGAAGTCTACAAACTGTCACCTAACTCTGTGGTGGAGCACCAACTGTAAACTTCCCAGCCATCTTTGATCTGAACCACTCCCCTGAAGCTCAAATTTAATGTGATACGTCTTAAAGGCATTGATAGGATGGTTTTTTGGGCACATTACTGGCCAGCCTGGGTTAAGCTGGGTTGAGTCTGGGTTCTACTAATGGAACGGATACATTCACCAAAACCGAAGTCTTAAAGAACTCTTATTTGCAAAATCCTCAAGTGAAACCACCCGACAGGCAAACTTTGAACGGAGAGTTTCCTGAGTCACAGAAAGGATACATGGTCGTTACAGAAAAGAGAAGATGGGAGGGCAGGGCTGTCTGAAAGGACAGCTGCGGAGCAGGTGAACAAAAACAAGAAAAGATAGGCAAGTCTCTCTCAGCAAAATGGATAGCCCAGGGTGATCATTATTACAACCGGAGAGCAGTTACATAACTACTTGTTAACTCCTGACACACACCTACATAGCTATGCTAACCACTGAAGCTACTGTACGTGCTGCAACTGCCAAGGTTTCTCCAATCAATTTCATTCAAAGAAATAAGTAATCCTGGAAGCTATTCCTTCCAAAGGTAACTTGCCTGCTTTTACACATAAAAAACAGCCTCCGGGAAAGCCAACCGCCTCTCTAGAGACAAAATTCAGTGTTTCTCCTTAATATTGTTTTCTTAAGGTTTTTTTTAAAGAGAGAGAGATACAGAGTTACATTCACAGAGCCAATGATATGATCACCTAGCTAAAAAACGACTTCCATTCCAAACTGGAGGATGGGAACAGGATCCCTCCCCCATCCCTGCCTGTACCGCTGGCGCAAATCCCAAGACCTCAGTGTCCGATGTACTGCATTCCAACATTTGTCAAAAAGTTTACGAGGATTTATAGAAGCGACCGAGAAAAATAAATAAATAAATAAAACTGGCAGAACCGGAGGAAAGCGAGCAGGAGGATGCAAGCAAGGAAGAAGCGGTAAAGCGCCCGGAGGCGCAGTGCAAGGCCCGACAACCGGGAAGCGACCTAGCCCCCGCAGAGCGACCGCCCAGCGGAGCGCGGAGGGTTGGCAGGCTCCAGATCTCGGTGGCCCAGGGTCCCTGATACCCCAGCCCGGGCCCCGCCTCCGATCTCCTCCCCAACCCTTCCCCCGCAGCGCCGTGGACGCCTGCCGGGGCCAGCTTGGCCCCGGGTCAGCGCTGCGGAGCGCGGCACAACCGCGGAGGCCGCCGGCGCCCTTACCTCCTTCTGCTTGGGGTCCTGCGGGTAGACATCGGGCGGCCCGAGCCGCGGGCGCTTCAGCGGTCTCTGTTCATAACTGAGAAGCCCGAAGGCGGCCATGATCTCTCATGTTAACCGGCGAAATGAATGAGAGTTGGAGCTGGAGCAGCCGCCTCTGAGCACCAGGGAGCAGCACTTTGCAGACAGACTCGCTCGCCCCTCCACTCTCGCTCGCCGTGGCGCTGCAGGCAGGAGAAAGCAGGTTGGAGACCGCCGCTGCCGGCGCGCAGACGCGCTCAGGGGGGCCGCCTCCGTGGGCACCCCGCTGCGCCGAGCCCCGGGACGCCAGCTCCACGGGCGGCGGCGGGGCTGGAGTTCGGCCAGGGTCCGCCGCGGCGCCGGCCTCCCGCCACCCCCACCCGGTCCCAAGGGGTGGGGGGCGGGGAGGAGCAGCTGATGGGAACGTGTGACTTTCTTCACCAATGAACCCAAACCCACCCGGGGGCACGGGCTGGGGTAGGGGAGGGGCGCGAAGGGGGGGAAAAACTTTTTCTTGGCGCCTAGGAGGGAGGCTCGGTGTCGCCGGGAGCTCGGCGTCCTCGGGCCCGCGAGGCGCTACGCAGCGGCCCGCGCCCACTTCCTGGCTCGCCGTACCCCGCGCCCGCCACCTTGCACCCGGAGGACCTGGTGCCCGGGCACGGAGCCGAGGGAGCGAGGCCGCGAGGGGCGAGGATGCGGACGCCGCCGAGCGAGGCCGATGTCCCCCCCCCCCCCACGCTCAGCTGGCGCTGAGGGTAAGCGGGTCCCCTCAGCGGCACCCGGGCGCTTTGCGAGCTGCCGGCTGCAGGCGGCCGCGGCGGCTGGAGGGGGCCGCGCTCAGTGTGGCGCGGGGCCGACTTAACCCTTTCCTGGGCCTCCCGGGGCTGGAGAGGGAGGTGAGGAGCGATGGCCGCGAGCACCGACGGACACATCGGGCGCGCAGGCGACTCGGCACCCCGGGGCACCCCCTGGCCGCCGCGCGCCCCGCTCCCCACCCCCAACAGTTTACCTGTTGGTCCCCTCAGCTAGCCGCTAGGCAGGGGCGGGCGGCCGGGACGCTCTGGCGGTGGCCTCAGCCTCCATCGTTCAGGTAGGGGAAGGGAATTGGATTTGACGTTGCGAGGTGTGTGTCTCGCCAGACTGCGGACGCCGCCGCGAAGTTTGCGGCTGCCTGGGGGCGTCGCTCGCCGCCGCCACCGCCGGCGTTCTCGCCCCCACGGCCCGGGAGCGCGAGCTCCCGAGTTGGCGGACGGCGGCGCGGCGGCCGCACTGAGCATGCCCAGCTTGGCGACCGGACCGCGGAGGAGTTGGCTGCGAGCGCCTCGAGCGCTCCCATCCGCCTCTCCGGGTTTTCGCAGCCGCAGAGCGCGCAGTCCGCGGGCCCCGCGCCCCAGCCGGCAGTAGGGTTAACCCGGCTATGGAACCAGCACCAGGAGGGACCCCCATGGCCCTCAGGCTGCGCCCTCTGCCTCGACCCCTCCTGCGGTCGCAATCCCAGCAGCCTGGGCGAAACCTCACCTGCTGGCGGCACAGGGATGGGTGCCGAGGGGAGGGGGCGATCCTTTCCGGGGACCGGTCAACCCACCTGCCTGCGCCCCTTGGTTGCTCCAGGTGGATACCCAGATGCTGGGCCACTAGCCTTGAGCATCTAGACCTAGCCTAGGAGGCGGGCCCAGTCTGTCCTGAGGGACCCTGCAGGAGGCGCGCCCAGGAGGACGCGCCAGCACTTGGCCAAGAATGATGGCTGCCATTTATGGAGTCTTCCTTTGGTGCTATGATCTTGAGTGTCCGAATTTGCTTCTGACAACAAACCCTCCAAGGTTTTATTTGCACTCTCTTTGTAAATCAGGAAATTGTATCAGCTCCGAGAGGTTAGGTGACTTGTTCAAAGCTGCAAAAGCTAGTCGGAATTTGAACCTGCCACTGCCAGAGCTCAGGTTTCTGACCTACCTCCCCTGTTTTGATTTGGAAGGGCTGGTCCTCGATCTGCCCTTGGCCTGATTGCGTCACATCCCCCATACCTTGAGGAATGTCTTGGATTCCTGTTCCCAGCTCTGGAAAGGATATGCAAGAAATAACCTGCAGCCTTTGTATAGCACCTGGTGCATGCTGGCGACATTCTAATGTCTACTCACTTTTCTGGATTTAAAGCATCCAAGAAAAAGAAGAGGAAAGTGGATAACGTGATGGCAATATAGTAGACTAGTTCTTCACTGCTCACTCCGAACTTCACAACTACCTTCTTTCTACACAGCCTGAAACCTAAGTGGGGCTGTATGTGGCTGAATTCACTGCTCAGTCTGAGCTAGGCCTTCTATGGAATACTTCCCTTCTACCAAGAGATGTTTCCTGCCCACTTCTTACCTTACCGTGAAATATCTCTTCTAATATCCTATGCATAATAACACCATGGTGTAGCTTCCCTTGCGTTATAAGCATCTATCAAATCCAGCTCCTTTGCTTGGAAGAAAAGATAGTTTTTATTCACATCTAACTTTATCAAAAAATTATCGAGCATGTCAAAAATTGAAGAAAGACTATAATAAATGAGCGAGTATTCATCGGCTGTGGCAATGTTTTGCCGTTTTGATTTCACCTGTTTTTCCCATTCCCAATGGACTGGTGTACACACCCATGTAGCCATGATAATTCTTTGATTTTTGTAAGAGGCACATGACATTGCACTTGACACATCTCCAAAAATTGTGGCTCTGTGGGATGGATGGCGGGTGGTTGAGCATGTAAATGTGTGGGCTTAGGACTTCATCACAAGTAGTATTTCACAAGCGCTGTACCATGCAACTCAGTCTGATGTTTCCATGAGAGACATGTCCAAGATTTATCTCATGGGATGACTGTCACAATCAGTGTCCTTTTGCTGTGAAGAGATGCCAGGACCACAGCGACTCTTAAAAAAGAAATCGTTGAATTGGGGCTTGCTTCCCCATTCAGATATTTAATCTGTTACTGTCATGGCAGGAAGCTTGGTGGCATGCAACAGATATGGTGCTGGAGAGGTAGCTGAGTATACTACACCCTGAGCAGTAGAGAGAAGGAAGAGACACTGGGCTTGGCTTGAGAATTTGAAACCCCAAAATCCACCCCCAGTGACACACTTCCTCCAACAAGGCCCCCCAATACGCCAACAAGGCCACATCTAATGAACGGCATTCAAAAATTTGAGATAGTGGAGGCCATTCCTAGTCAGGCCAACACAGTAGCCACGGCAGAATAACTCCAAACCAATCATTTTTGCTTGTTTTGGAGGATTTGGGGTGGTTTTATGATTTTTTAAAAAAAATTTATGGTAATGGTAGTGGCTTGATTGGATTGGATTTTGTTTTCAGTTTTTATTTTGATTTGATTTCAAGCCATAGATCTTTCTTCTTTTTAAAGATGAAATTCCCAAACCTTCCTCTTCAGACATATACCTGCTGCCAGTTGTTAAAAGCCTAGGCTTATGTGGAGCCTACTCTAAACTAAGGCTTGCCATAATCCTTTGTCGTTTCCAGTGCCCATAGCACTTATTTTTATTCTTTTTTTTCAATACCTCATTACTTATTGACATCTGTTCAAATATATGACCCAAGATTGTCTTCTTGTCCTCTCCTTTCCTTACTCTTCTGTCCTTCCACTGCAGAATTCGTCTTGAAGCTACAATGCAGACTTAACCTGCTGATCTTAATCTGGAAGGCATTTTGTTATCTGCTGTCCTTTAAATTTCCACATGGTGCTTGCTAAAGTGGCAGATAAGTACACATTCTTATTGAGGTTCTCAATGCGTAGACCAGACTGGCCTTGAATTCACAGATCTCTGCTGCCTGCCTCTACCTCCCAAGTGTTGGGATGAGAGCTGTATACCATCATACCTGGCTTGATACTGTTCTTAAAGTGTATCTAATAGTTACCTAGCTAATGGATTCCTCTAAGACTGGCCCCTCCTCCAAAGGTTCTCGGCCTGCCAGAAAAGATGAGGTGAGGGACTGTGGATATTTTAAATGGCTGTAGGGGAAAAGTGATGGAACATGGCTAGGGAAAGATGAACTGCAAAACAAAACTACAAAAAAAAATATTAGGTGATGGAGGAAGGTCATTGGTTAAATAAAAAGAAACTGCTTGGCCCTCATTGGTTAGAAGATAGGTGGGAGGAGTAAACAAGAACAGAACGCTGGGAGGAAGAGGAAGTGAGCTCAGATTCCACAGCTCTCCTCTTGGGAGCAGACGCCTCAGAGAGAGACGCTATGCTCCCAGCTCCCAGGCAGACGCACGTGATGAAGCTCCGACCCAGGATGGACATAGGCTAGAATCTTCCCGGTAAGCGCACCTAGGGGTGCTACACAGATGATTAGAAATGGGCTAAATTAATATGTGAGAATTAGCCTAGAAGAGGCTAGATAGAAATAGGCCAAGCAGTGATTAAATGAATACAGTTTGTGTGTTGTTATTTCGGGCATAAGCTAGGCATGTAGGCAGCCAGGGTGCTGGGGATGCAGCCCCGCCGCTCATATTACTACAATTAGGGAGCTGTGTCACCCAAGCTAGCTCTGCAGTACACCTTCAGAGACTTGATCGATATTGAAAAAGTGGTCATTTTCTTGTGTCACATCCAAGGGCTCCTCAACAACCTTCAGCACCAAGAAGACCCCCTAACTGCTTGTAACTGCTTCTACTTCTCTCTGTAAGCTTTGGCTACTCGTCTTTAGCAAACCGTACCTCACTGTTAGCATAAAGTTTGCTCTCTTGGGCAAAGTTCCTTCAATATATCCCATAGCTGGCTTCCTAGTTCTCCATTTGGTCAGCAGGTGATGTGCAGGTCTCCTTTGCCAGTGTATACTCCATGCAGACATTTCCTAACCAATATTCTCTCCTTGCCAGCCATGGGCATATTGTGCAAGCCACCGCCCACCTTAAAAGTTCTCCAGGTTTGTACAAGCTACAAAGGGCGAATAACACAGGTGGTCTGCGGTCCTCTCCAAGTTCTTCCCATGAACGTGAAGGATAACAACATTTTCAGAGCATAGCTCAACAAGGAGATGGCTAGTTACAGAGCAGATCCCTCATGAGTCCTGTTTTACCCTTCCTGCTCGACAGCACTGGTTCCAAGCGATCAAAGCGGGGCAAGCCATAAGTAGAGTTAGACCGGACCCTCCCACCTGTGCTTGTTATCATTGTCCGTGCACTACCTGCGTGAATTAATCGTTACACCGCACACATAAAAGTGGGCATCAGAAGACAGTTGTGGCGTAAGAGAAGAAGCTCCTAGCAGCTTGCTGTGCCACCGCAGTATGCCTTCACTCAAGCGGAAAGAAACAGTCCTCAGTGCTGTGGTGCCTGGAGGTGCAGTAATTAAAGTCGCTGGGTTTTCTCGTGGGATTGATGCTTGTCCAGGGGTGTGTATCGTTGTGTTTCGGTCCCAGTTTATCGGCAGGCAATCTTGCTTTGCTTTCAGTTTTTTCTTATGCCCCCATTATGTTTAAATGTGTTTGTGTTGTGCCTGCATCTGATTCAAAAAATACAATTCCACGCTTTCCTTGAGTCAAAAGAATCAAACAACGGACAGAAAGACAACTGGAGGGGCTGGAGAGATGGCTCAATGATTAAGAGTGCACACTGTATCCCCACCTTCCCCACAGTCCACTTGCAAAATTTATTCTATTTCCCCTTCCCACGGAGATACATGTGCCCCGACACACACTTTGAGGCCTCCTTGTTACTCTCTGAGTCTGTATTGTAGCATGATTATCCTTTACTTTATAGCCGATATCCAATTGTAAGTGAGTATGTGCCATATTTATCTTTCTAGGTCTGGACCACCTCACTTAGGATGTTTTTTTCTACTTCCATCTATTTGCTTGCAAATGTCATGATGTCATTTTTTTAACAGCTGAGTAATACTCCATTGTATAAATTGCTACATTTTCTTTGTCCATTCTTGTGTTGAGAGACATCTAGGTGGTTTTCTGTTTCTGGCTATGACGAATAAAACTGCTATGAATATAACTGAGCAAGTGTCCTTGTGATAGGATGGAGTCCTTTGGGTATATACCCAAGAGAGGTATAGCTGGGTCTTGAGGTAGATTGACTCCCAGTTTTCTGTGAAACTGACACAGTGATTTCCATAGTGACTGCAAAAGTTTTCACACCCACCAGCAATGGAGGAGTGTTCCCCTTGCTCCACATCCTTGCCATCATAAGCTGTCACTTGTGTTTTTGATCTTAGCTGTTCAGACAGGTGTAAGATGGAAGGAATCTTAAAGCAGCTTTGATTTGCATTTCCCTGGCGACTGAGGATGTTGAACATTTCTTTAAGTGTTTCTCAGCCATTGAGTTTCCTCTGTTGAGAATTCTCTGTTTAGATCAGTACCCCATTTTTCAATTTGACTATTTGGTTCATTGAT